TGGGGCGTGAGAAATATGGTAAGTATAGACTAGATATTAAAGTATTGGTTTTAGCATGTGTCTGTTTACTCTGCAAAACCTTTTTTGGAGTTTTGAAACTTAAACCTTTCCTTTGTACTTCGAAGTCTTTCATTTGGTAATCGTTTTAAAAAAATTCTAAATACATTTTTTTAAATAATCAGAGAAATTACTTAAATTAGGGAGAATTGCAGACCTAGCTTAGTTTATGTTTAACTTAATTGTCATAGCTTATACTATGTACATTGTTTTCACTAAATTATTTTCTATTATTTATCCTGAGTACAGAGACCATATATATGTGTAGGTTTTGATACACCAGTCAGTGATGTTAGGTTGACAAACGTGTGTACATTTGAATTTTCTACATATTAAGCATTTTCAAAACAAATTAGCCTAACCTTAACATTAACCAATTAACTAGCTAAATGAGATCATTCTCACTCATCATCACTCTGGGTAATCTCCTAGAAATCTAAAAAATTATTTGACCCAACATTAATTAATCTGCACTGATTTAAATACTAACCTGTTAACTGACCTAATATAACCTAAAATATTGTAAAATTTGTTTAGGCCTTCAATCATTTTAAAATGAATTTACACGGTGATGAAGCAAATCCACCTACAGAAGCTGTACACATTTTTCTGCAGCTCTCTCTTCTCCAGAGCTGTTCAAAGAACACGAATCAAAGAGTATTTCTCAGCTTGCCAGGGGCAGGAATCTGACATCAGACACTGCACAGCACAGAGCTGAGTGGCATTTGAGATCAGAGTGGAAAGAAAGGACATCCTCTTCCCCTACACAGTCGAATAGGAAAGCATACACAGCTGAGATTGTCAGTCACTTTCTGTGTGCAAGGGGGTGGGGAGGAGGTCTCCCAGGATTGTCTGTTTCCCCTACAGATAGCAGAGAAAGGAGAGAGCACACAAAAACCACAATAAGTAAAGAACGAGTAACTCTGGTGCACAGGAGTAAAGTAGTGTAAGGGTGAAAAGGAGAAAAAATATAAAGTAAAAGATGATAATGGCAATACTGGCATACAAGTACTTTAAAACAGAGTATGTAAATGCTTTGGTGTACAATAAGTCTTTATAAGAGTCTCTCAGGCAATCTGCCTAGAATCTTTTTAGCACCAAAAGACAGCAGTCATCCTTGGAGCCAGCTCTATATGCAGGGACAGAAGATAAGAGACAGGAGGGGTCTGAGTGTAGTAATAACATCGTATTTAATAGCAAAGGATTAAAAACACTCACAAAGGAAGTAATAAAACAAGCTCATCTGTGTATATGAGAGATGACCGTTCCTCAAAATGTCCTGCAGGCGCCACTGGTGGTTAGAGCAGTAGCAGCTGGGCTGACAGAGATGGTAAGAGACACTATAGTGGTCAATCCTGAAGAGTGGTGGTGTTGTAGAGCCGATCCAGCGGCATTTGTCCAGGAAGGAGCCTAGTAACCAGCCTGGAACACACCGGCGGGATGTGACATCACAGGAAGAGGCGGAGGGTCAGTGGGGAGGAAGAACACAGATGTGGGACAGTAAGGCTGTCTTACTGTCCCACGTCTTGTGTTCTTCCTCCCCACTGACCCTCTGCCTCGGCTCTACAACACCACCACTCTGCAGGATTGACCACTACAGTGTCTCTTACCATTTCCATCAGCCCAGCTGTTATTGCACTAACCATCGGTGATGCCTGCAGGACGTTTTGAGGAACGGTTATCTCATATACACAGATGAGCTTGTTTTATTACTTCCTTTGTGAGTGTTTTTAATACTTTGCTATTACATACAGTGTTATTACTACATTCAGACGGGCACCTCTTTTCAAAAACCACAATAAGTGCTATGACCTGAGGCTATGTGCTATGACCTGAAGTACACACTATATGAGGATAAGCTCTGTTTATTGTTTATTTAAGAGGTTTACAACCACTTTAAAGTGGAATTCCAGGTATGGTATATTTTATAAATAATTACATTGGTCCAGTTTGATCCAATGTAACTATTTTTTTTTGTTTTGCAATTTCTTTTTGTTAAGTTTTTAACACATAGAGAACATATGCACAAGAACATAAAACATTGGTTCACGTATCCTGCCCTCAGAGGGGTGAAGAAGGTCAATCACACATCCAAAGAAAATACAAGGCTGCATCAAAGAAGCTCCAATACGCCCACATGGTCGTCGCTACCAACTAAGAAATAAATGTGTAAATATCAAGTGTCCCATACTAGTGCACATTACAGCCAATACCATGTCCCAAAGATCAGTAGAAAATACAGAGATAGCATGAAAATACAATATTACTCAGGTTATGGCATGTCAGAGGCAGTGGAGGGTTCGGCCAGCCATTTGGACCATACTCTATCATATTTTTTGGGGTATCCTCTATACACATAAGTATCCTTATAAAGTGGTAAATTAGCATTAATTATTCTCTTCCATGACATAATAGATGGAGTAGCAGGTTTTTTCCAGTTCAGATTACCTTTCTAGCGTAGAACAATAATAGGCTAATCAGGGTAAGTTCAGCTACAGTGGGCAGGGGATCACTAACCAGACTAAACAAACATACCAACATGGAAGGTTGTTGGGGGGCCGAGGTCAACTTATTGCACAAGGATATTACCTCCTTCCAGAAATCAGACAACGCAGCACAATGCCAAAACACATGGGCAAAATCTTCCGGTGAGCCCCCACAACGCCAACATTCAGGGGAGTGTGTTGAACTCATTTTGTGAAGCCTATATGGGGTGTAATAGGTCCGATGTACTATCTTGAACTGGATCAAACGGTCCCTCAGAAAGACCAGAGAGCGAAAAGGCAAATCCCAATATCCCAGTCGTCATCATCCTGTCAGGAATGGACTTGCCAGTAATGGTGGGACTCACCTGCCTTGTGGGCTGCAGTACCAGGGCTGGCCAGCGGGTGCTCTCAGCAATCAGAGACTCACCCCTGCAGTCAGCCAAACGCCTGAAGCTGATGCAGGGGTTGTATTTAAGTAATGGCCAGACTCACAGTCAGGGCCTTGGTGTGTGTTTTTCCATGGGCCCCTGTATCTTGTATCCTGTGTTCCTGTTTCTGCCTGACTTGTTGCCGACCCTGCCTGATTCTGACCGCTGCTGACTTCTCCTGTTTGATTCCTGGCTTGTGACCCTGACCATTCTCTGCCTGACCCTCTGCACCGCGCTGCCCATGACTTACTGAACCCAGCTTGTGACCCCGACCACTCTCCCTCCTATTCCTGGTACTCTGTTTGCCCGTTTGCTACTGACCCGGCCTGCCTGACGACTCTTGCATTGTATGTATTGTTATCTGTAGATGGTTTGGTTTGTTTGCACTGTGTTATGTTTAGTTTTGCACTGCCTTTGTATTGTTAGTGTTAATAAATTATATTATTTACTATATCTGAAGCCTGCGTTTCCCTGTGTCAGTCCACACACTTCTGGTCATACCCGCATCCCTGACATTACACCAAGGCCATTCCTGACCAGAAGTGGCTGCACAGGGAAGCCATCTTGGCTTGTTGCTGGGAAGGATGCATCCTGATGAGGTGGTGTATTTGTCGCTGCTGGTCTTTGATGACAGAGAGTATGCTTATCAGACCCTGAAGGAGTATCCCAGGGATCAACTGCTAGAATGTATAAGGGTCGCTCATGTTCTAGTAGATCAGGGCACAGAATTCTCTGAGGTGCAACCTTTGATTAAGGTTTGTGCAGAGCTGAGCTTCATCTGGTACCCCTGAAAGCAGGAATGACTTTTTGCCACCATTTAGTGCAGACCAGGTAGAGTCCCTGGTATGGTTAGAGGATGATGTGGATTGCTTCTTGGAGCAATATGCTGCATGTTCACAACAGGTATTAAGGGATTGTATAAACGCAGTGCAGTCTTTGACCAGGCAGGCTTTGTGTAAGCTGAGCTTTGTTCAACCCATACTGCAGACATAGTCAGACTTGTTGCACCCAGCCTCAGTCAGCTTGCAACATCATTCCTCTGCTCAAGGCACTCTTCCTGCATCCCCGACAGCACCCCTCAGTGACGGCCCAGTATACTCTGCTAACTACCACATACCAGTCCCCTGCTCCCACTCGCTGCACCTATCCTTTCTTTAACCCTGTAAAGAAGTCCTCTGTAGCAACTGCTGCCTCCTCTGTTCCATCCTCCAGCTCTTCTCTGTCTTTAGCTGCTCCATTCGTTTACAGACCTGCATTTACTTACAGTGCTCCAGTAACTAAAACCAGAAAAAAGCGAAAATTCTTTCCAACCAGTACCATCCTGCCAGTATCGAAACCGGTCAGCCTGCCATCTGAGAACCCGCCTTCCGTAGTTCAGCCTGGTGCCTCGGCACCCGCAATTCAGCCTGATGTCTCTACCCAGCCTGATGTCTGTACCCAGCCTGATGAACTGATGCAGCCTAATGATCCTATCATGCCAGGCGACTTGGTGCCTGCTGTCAAGCCAGATGACTTGATGCTTGGTGACCCGATGCCCGCTATCGAGCCAGACGATCTCCTGATGACCCAGTGCCCGCTGTCATGACCCGATGCCCGCTGTCGAGCCAGACGATCCAATGCCTGATGACCCAGTGCTCACTGTCATGCCTGGTGACCCGATGCCCGCTGTCGAGCCAGACGATACAATGCCTGATGACCCAGTGCCCGCTGTCATGCCTGGTGACCCGATGCCCATGTCTTGCCAGATGACTCGGTGCCTGCTGTTGAGCCAGATGACCTGATGCCTGGTGACCCGATGCCCACTGTCGAGCCAGATGATCCAATGCCTGATGACCCAGTGCCCGCTGTCATGCCTGGTGACCCGATGCCCGCTGTCGTGCCTGATGACTCGATGCCCGCTGTCGAGCCAGATGATCCAATGCCTGATGACCCGGTGCCCGCTGTCATGCCTGGTGACCCAATGCCCGCTGTCGAGCCAGACGATCCAATGCCTGATGACCCGGTGCCCGCTGTCATGCCTGGTGACCCGATGCCCGCTGTCGAGCCAGACAATCCAATGCCTGATGACCCAGTGCCCGCTGTCATGCCTGGTGACCCGATGCCCGCTGTCGAGCCAGATGATCCAATGCCTGATGACCCAGTGCCCGCTGTCGTACCTGGTGACCCAGTGCCCGCTGTCGAGCCAGACGATCCAATGCCTGATACCCAGTGCCCGCTGATGGTGACCCCAGTGCCAGTGTCGAGCCCGCTGTCCCGTGCCCGCTGTCGTGCCAGTTGACTCGGAGCCCGCTGTCGTGCCGGTTGACTCAAAGCTCGCTATCGTGCCGGTTGATTCGGGGCCCGCGGTCTTGCCAGATGACTCGGGGCCCGCGGTCTTGCCAGATGACTCGGGGCCCGCGGTCATGCCAGATGACTCGGGGCCCGCGGTCATGCCAGATGACTCGGGGCCCGCGGTCTTGCCAGATGACTCGGGGCCCGCGGTCTTGCCAGATGACTCGGGGCCCGCGGTCTTGCCAGATGACTCGGTGCCCACCACTCCGTCTGGGGGCCCGATGCCTGCCGGTGCCTGCCGCTCCGCCTGGGGGCCCGGTGCCGCTGCCTGGGGGCCCGGTGCCTGCCGCTTCGCCTGGGGGCCCGGTGCCCGGTGGGAGCCTGCCGCCGCTTCGCCTGGGGGCCCGGTGCCTGCCGCTCCGCCTGGGGGCCCGGTGCCTGCCGCTTCGCCTGGGGGCCCGGTGCCTGCCGCTCCGCCTGGTGGCCCGGTGCCGCCGCTCCGCCTGGTGATCCCAGCCCGATGCCTCTGTCCGGCGTCCAGCCCGATGTGCCTCTGTCCGGTGTCCAGCCCGATGTGCCTCTGTCCGGCGTCCAGCCCGATGTGCCTCTGTCCGGCGTCCAGCCCGATGTGCCTCTGTCCGGCGTCCAGCCCGATGTGCCTCTGTCCGGCGCCCAGCCCGATTTGCCAGTCTTTGATATCCCGCCAGTTACCGGACCCGGGCGGTGGAACATTTTGCCCAGCTAGGACTGTTTGGAGCATCCTGAGGCCGCTCCTTGAGGGGGGGGGGGTACTGTCAGGAATGGACTTGCCAATAATGGTGGGACTCACCTGCCTTGTGGGCTGCAGTACCAGGGCTGGCCAGCGGGTGCTCTCAGCAATCAGAGACTCACCCCTGCAGTCAGCCAAACACCTGAAGCTGATTGCAGGGGTTGTATTTAAGGAATGGCCAGACTCACAGTCAGGGCCTTGGTGTGTGTTTTTCCATGGGTCCCTGTATCTTGTATCCTGTGTTCCTGTTCCTGTTTCTGCCTGACTTGTTGCAGACCGTGCCTGACCCTGACCACTGCTGACTTCCCTGTTTGATCCCTGGCTTGTGACCTTGACCATTCTCTGCCTGACCCTCTGCACCGCGCTGCCCGTGACTTACTGAACCCAGCTTGTGACCCCGACCACTCTCCCGCCTGTTCCTGGTACTCCGTTTGCCCGTTTGCTACTGACCCGGCCTGCCTGACGACTCTTGCATTGTATGTATTGTTATCTGTAGATGGTTTGGTTTGTTTGCACTGTGTTATGTTTAGTTTTGCACTGCGTTTGTATTGTTAGTCTTAATAAATTATATTTACTATATCTGAAGCCTGCGTTTCCCTGTGTCAGTCCACACACTTCTGGTCATAACCGCATCCCTAACACATCCAATTCCGGGACATCCCGCAACCACCTCTCCCGCAGGCCGCCCAGAGCAGGTAGGAAAACCCATACCAGGTGTGAGTACAAATGGGAAGTAGGCTTCACCGATCAATCAGACAACAAAACCTCTTCTAGGGCCTATTGAGTTAGCCGAAGGGTAGAATGAGGGAATTGAGCACGAAAGGCATGGGAAAGCTGTAGATATCAGAATAAATAGGAGGCAGGAACATTATAAGTAGAAGAAAGGGTAGACAGAGGAGAAAGGGTGGATCCAGTGACAAGTTGTGAGATTAATTTTATATGAAATTTGGTCCAGAAGTGGGGCTCAGGTAACATGAATATATGGGGCAGGGTAGGATTAAGCCAAATGGGGCATTCGGAGAGACAGCTAGCTTGGGATAATATTCACAGGTCAAACCCGCCAGGCCCGTAGGGTGGTGATCATGGAGGGTGTCAACAGATATGGGGCTCGGGGTCCCCTATGTAAAAGGAACCTCAGAGCCTCCAATGAACGCAGAACCAAAGCCTCCAATACCATGGAGGGATTAGAAGAATCGGGGGTCATCCACCAGGCTGCAGTTACCAGTTAGGTGGCCAAGAAATATTTGTAACAGTTTGGAAATGCGAGGCCACCTTGAGCCTGGGGCTGCATGAGGGTAGAAAGCTTATACCTGGGAGTATTGGGGCCCCAGATGAAGGAGAAAAATAGGTGATTAAGATGGATAAAAAAGGATTTCTGGATCCATTGCGGAGAGTGTTGAAATAGGTAAGTGAATTTTGGCAGGATTTTAATTTTAATAAGGTTGATACGCTCAAAGAGAGATAGAGGTAGGGATGCCCATGCTTTCAGCTTCAATTTAAGATCTTGCACCATCGGAGTTAGGTTTAAGGAAAGAAAGTCTGAGGTTTAACGAGAGATCATGACCCCCTGATAACGGAAACTCTCCACCCACTGCAGTTGGGTAGCGGAAAGGGCCTCACCAAGAGTCCGAGGGTCAATGGAAAACAACAAGGATTTCGCCCAGTTGACTCGGAGACCCGTGACAGGCCCGCCGTCATTCAAGAACAGTAGAAGGTCATCGGCGTATAAGGCCACCCTCTCCTCCAACCTGCCGACGCGGAGGCCCCTAATATTGGGGGAGGTACAGACCACAATGACAAGGTGAGACAGAGCAACCCTGCCGAATGTCTCTAGAAAGGGAAAAGGGGGCTGACAGGCCACCATTCAGACAGACCGCCGCAGTGGGGTTGGTATAGAGGGTCTGAAGCCATGCAATGAAAATTAGAGGAAAACCCATTTTGCAAAATACCTCCCATAGGATTGACCATTCTATAGTATCAAAAGCCTTCTCAAGATCTAAAGAGGCCACGACTCTAGTACCCTTATTATCATGCACTACATGAATATTTGTGAACAATCTACGTATATTAATGTCAGTCTCTCTATGAGTCTTAAACCCAGTCTGATCTGGTACAATAATGGTAGGTAATATCGGTTGCAATCTTAAGGATAGAAGCTTGGTTAAGATCTTAAAATCAGTATTTAGCAGAGTGATGGGCCTTTAGGAGGCACAGGAAGTGGGATCCTTAGGGTCCTTATGAATTAACACTACATGAGCATGATCCATAGAGGAAGGCAACTTTCCCATAGACAAACTATGTGTGTACAAAGAGGCCAATAGCGGGGCAAGCAGATCACTGTGAGTCTTATAGAACTCAATGGGGAGATCATCTGGGCCAGGGGCCTTCCCAGAGGGAAACAAATGAATAGCTGTAGAGACCTCCTCAGGAGTTATGGGCCTCACAAAGGCCTTGCGCTTCACATCTGAGAGCCATCTCAACACTAACTGATCCAACAAAATGGACAGATCGGAAGCCCAAAAATCAGAGGGCAGTTTGGAGGCATAGAGAGTACCTTAAAATTGTTGAAAAGTGTCTAGAATGTCTGATAAGGAGGAAACAATCTCCCCAAAGGAGGTCTAAGCTAAGAAATTATTATAAATGGCTGATCGTGATGAGCTAGCATTGGAAGGAGCCATCCATTACGGTTGCCCTGTTCAAAAACTCTTTGCTTACTATTAAGAAGTTGCAATCTGGTAACTTCCTCCATATGCAGGTGTAGTGCTCTCTTGGCCATGGCTAGGAGATCAAAGTTAGGTGTAGTAGGATCTACAGCATACTTGGTAGAGCAGTCCTCCACCAACTCCTGGAGAGTACGGGAGGCAGTTGCATGAAGTTTATGGATCGCAGAGGAAAAGTATTGTCCTCGGGTGTATGCCTTAAAGGCGATCCAAGTGACGTCTGGAGAGGATGACCCAACATTATTATCCCAAAACTCATTTAGTAATGGCAGAATAGCATTTGTAACCGACAAATGGGAGATGCAGTGGGTCCCAGTCGCCAAAGAATAGGCAGTGCGAGAAGGGGGGGCGGAGTCTCAGGGCCAGCTGACAATGGTCTGATAGTCCGCTAGGTAGTTAAGAAGCAGAAAGGACATCCTCCAATATTGCAGGATTAGCAAAAGCCAGGTCAATTCAGGAGGACGTTTTGTAAGACCACAACCAACGCCAAACCTCCACTACCCCCACTGCCTGGGCCCAGTTAATTAAATCTGTGGAGAAAAATTTGGGGGGGTAGGTTTATCTAGGTCAGGGGCTAAGATGGCATTAAAGTCCCCCATAATTAACAATTTGGCTGGGCAACGTGGGGTAATCTTCTCCAGATGTGAGTATAACATCGTAGAAGAGAAGGGTGGGGGAATATATACCGAAGCAACCACATATCACTGACCCCAGAGCGTGAAAACTATGTAAACGTATTTCCCTTGCGGGTCAGTATAAATGGACTCTATCACACTTGGTAGGAATTTGCTAGGAGGTTGGGGAAAAATCAACTTAAAAATTAAAACGGGAGCAGAGAGACAAAAAAAAGGGGGGGAGTGGGAGGACAGCAACCGTAAAAAAAAGCTGTAGATTTTGGTTAGACGTGGACTGGAGCTCCAGTATGTAACCGGATTATGCACATGTGCACCATAATAAAAATTGGGAGACGGGGACTCGGTGACTCCAAAGAAGCAGATCTTCATCAGAAGGAACGAGGAAGTTCCAGTACCCCATGGTACATCTGGAGGAAAAATGGGAGGAAGGGAAGAAGAGGCACTTAGCTTACATCCATGGATCCAAGGGGATCATTATCAACAGGCAAGTTCCCAGACCTAGTAAGCATCCAATCAGTCCGCGGCAACATCAGGCTTCTCAAAGAAACGGGCCCAGTTCCCATCAGAACTGCTCAACTTGCTGGGATAAAGAAAGCTGAAATGGATACCTTTCTCCCAAAGTCTCCGGCAGATATCAGAAAAGGATTTGTGGCGTCGCTGGATCTCTTGAGAGTAATCTGGAAAAAATAGCAGCTTAGTATTTACATAGAGCAAGTCCGGAGCAAGAGACAGGATTGGAGCTCCAGCAGTGCACGTCTCATCCCGATCACATCCCGGCCACGCCCCCCCCCCAATGTAACTATGTTAATAACATACCTGGTCGATGCCCCTAGACACCGCTGGATTCCAGTGAAGTTCACCGCTATTTTTCTTTTCTTCTGGGTCCCATCTCAGCTGGCCTGATGCATTCTGAACACAGGAGGTTGGTGAGGTGCTCAGAATGGGCACCATTCAAAGTATGAACGCAAAATGTTTTCTGACTGGACAAGGTGGAGAGGCAGACATGGAAGGCTTACTTTGCCTGAGGCAAGGGCAGGAAGCTTAGTCACAGGGAATACTCTATCACTCATATTTTGGTCTTTCTTCAGTCTAGTCTTGACCAGCGTCTGGCCCTGAGTACCCTCAAGAGACAGATTTTGGCTTTATCCATTTTATTCCAGAATCCTCTTGCCTTGCAATCCCTCATCAAGGATATTCTTCAGGTAATTATTCATATAAATCTCAACCTGTTACTCTCTGTATTTCAGAATCCCTTTAAAACA